TATAGGATCATATCATCTGCAAATAGAGTTTTACTTCCTCTTTGTGAATTTGGATGCCTTTAATGTCCCTGTCTTGCCGTAAAGCTCTTGTTAATACTTCTAGCACAATACTGAATAGGAGTGGTGACAAAGGGCATCCTTGTCTGATTTCTGTTCGCAGAGGGATCCTATGAATCTATTGAACTCCGTGGGCTTATATCTTTACTTATGTTCAAAATGCCAAAGTAAGCCATCCACGTAATAAAACACAATCAATTCTTTAAAAAGTTAGAAATTCAAGAAACAAACATCTACGGAAAATTACATAATCGTCATAGAGGAACTGTTTGAGACACCATTGTAAACTCAAAACACTAAAGAGATGAAAGTTTCAGGAAGCAGATGAAAGCTATAAAAGATAAAGTTACTCCAAAGCATGAAGAGTTTTACCCCAAAATTGAAAAGTAAAAATTTCAGAGAATTTAGAAAGGGAACTTTTCCAAAAAAGCTTTACATCTGCAGATGTAAAGAACATGAAGACTGTGTTTCAAAGTTTGATGGCACACGTGGAATTCATCCAGAACCTTTGTCATCACTTTCTTTACTATTTTTACTATGAGGGTTACATCTGTTTAAAAAACATTAATACCATAGTAAGTTTATAATTTAAATGTTAAGATGTTTAATAAGCTAAAAGGCACTGCAAATAAAGCTAGAAGACAAGGGAAGTATGTTTATAATTGTCAAAATATTTAGCAAGCTCTCCCACATCATTAAACAAAGAAAAGATACCTCACAAATACCACTGGCAAAGAATAAACCAGGGATTAGTAGAAGAGGGGACTTAAGTAATCAATAAATAGGTAAAAGTGATCAACCTCCCATGTAGCCAGGAAAACGTAAATGAAAAGATCAAATTTTGTTTTATTCACCATCTTCACAAAGTTGGGCTGGGTGTGGGCTCCTTCTATGGGTAGGAGCGTTTATTGATTATATATTGATTCAGGAGCACTGGTGGTGCAGTGGTTAAGCACCTGGTGGCTACCCAACAACTGCTTTTGGGAGAAAGAGGGGCAGTCTGCTTCTGTAATGACTCCAGCCTTGAACACTCTATGGGGCTGTTCTACATTGTCCTATAGGGTTGCTATGGGTTAGAATTGACTCAAAGGCAATGAGTTTATGTATTTGTCCAGAATCTTTGGAAGGCAAGTGTCCAGAGTTATAAACAAGTAAATATCATTCTTCGCATCCACAATTTCACTGACACAGAAAATTATTTATTTGTACATATGCTAAAAGAAAATAAGACAGATATATTAATGGCTGCCACTGCAGCTTATTTGTAAAAGTGAGTAACTGAAAACAACCTATCTGTCCATCAGTAGGGGAATGGTTTAAAATTATGGTGTGTCTAGGCTATTGAAGAGTAACTACTGGAGATCTGTGTACACTACCAGGAAGACACCTCTAACGGCCATGCTGTTAAAATAAGTGAAAATGCAAAATATAGAACAACATGTGCATTACCATCATGTTTGTTCAAAAACAACAAAACTACTGCTGTATTTACAAAAACCACTTATATATGGAAATTCAGAGGAAAAGACGTGAATACTACATCCTCGACTCAATACGTGGGACTCATAGCAGCATGACCAAGAATATGTAATGTGTTTCTTCTATATGAAAAAAACACACTAAAATTTCAAAAAATTATTAAGCAGCATTATATCTGAACACAAAGTCCTGGTGTGACACTGTAGGATCGGCACTGGACTGCAAACCATAAAGTCAGCAGTTCAAACCCACCAGGCGCTCCTCGTAAGGCCTACACAGATTCGCTATGAGTCAGAACCGATCTACAGTACATAACAATAACAACCACATATAAATGCATTGATGGAGAAGAGTCACAACCCAGTAAACCAAACCCATAACTGTTCACTTGAGTCTCACTCATGGCCATGCTAGGGGACAGGATAGAACCGGCCCACAGGGTTGCCAAGGTGTGACGCTGAGGTGAATGTGCAAGATTAGTTTGAACCACAAGGACAATGATTCAAGCTCATCAGCCATTCCTCAGAAACCCTATACAAGGTCGCTATGAATCAGAATTGTCTCGACGGCACATATTAACAATCTTTATGGACCCAGACTGCCTCATTGTTCTCCTATAGAGCAACGGGTGGGTTCAAACCGCTGACCTTTCAATGAGCAGTCAGCACTTAAACCTTGTGCCATTAATTCTCCTCTACAATCCATCCCAGAACATAACATTAAAATATGAGCCATTTACCTTCCTGGTGTGGCACTGTAGGATAAGCTCACTCAACTGCAATTCAGTTTGAATCACAAGGTTGGTGGTTCAAATCCACCAACAGTTCCTTAGAAAGCTCATACAAGATTACTATAAGTCAGAACCGACCTGGCATCACTTAACAACAACAACAACAACCTGCCTTTTTATGTTTTTAATCAAGATCAGGGATCAAAGAGCTCAGACTCCCAAATGAGAGATGGGAATATACCTGGGATTTTTGGAGGCCTGTCATAGGAAGGGACAGACCACAGTGCCCAGTGTTTAAAGTCAGGAATTCTTTGGAATCCTCTACACTGCCTCTGGGACATGATGCTGGAGGGGGAAATGAGAGGGTTCTGAGGTAACCAGGAAATACAGATCCCAAAGTGAAGCCTCGAAAGGGGCAGCTGGCTCACCATCCAGCAGCTCTGTAGGACTTTCCAGACACTAAGGAGTCTGAGTTTCTGGTGTTGAAATATGGAGGAAGAATTGGGCTGCAAACCACAAGGTGGGGCATTCAAACCCACCAGCTGCTCCTCAAAAACCTTATACATCAGTTGGAATCAACTCTATGGGACCTAACAGCCACCTCCACAACAAGGAACAACCCCCACCACAACAAGGATTCGAGAGTTACTGGCTGGGCGTTCCCACCAGTTGTCTGTTGCGGGTTCAAACCTCTGATTTTTTACTCCACTACCTTGCACACTTAACAACAACAACAACAACCATGCACACTGGAGTCCTGGTGTGGTGTTGTAGGATAGGCTCTTGACCATAAGGTTAGTTTGAACCGTTAGGTTGGCAGTTCAAACTCATCAGCCACTCCCAGGAACTAGACAGCGTTGCTGTGAATTGAAACTGACTGACGGACAGCGCTTAACCTTACATACCATGGTGTGGCCCCGACACTCACTCGAACAGCACCCCTGAGGCCCCGGAACAGAATGCTGAAGGGAAGAGACAGACTCACCTGGCGCTGAGCTCACCGCTCCCACTTGCCATGGTCCACGCGGATCCTTCAGGGCCTAAGGAGCCCCCTGACTCTCGGGCCTGCGTCCCGGGTGGCTGCCGGCCCTGAGCAGGAAGTCTCTGGATCCGTCAAGAGAGGAAAGAAAAGTGAAAGTATGTACTCCAAACACGTGACAGACTGTGAAGGGCAACGCCTGCCTGGTCCCAGTCTGGGTGGTTCTGGGCTTTGCTGAGAAGTGGAACCAGGGAGCCAGGGGAGGAGGGACACATCACCTGCCCCCCAGCCCCACTGAGGTCCAAGGTGGGGGTGGGGATGGGTGGGTACACTCTGAGGGGAACAGGGACCAGCTTCACTTTGTGCAGACAGAAGCAGAACTATCTGTTTGAACCCAGAGTATCTGCAGCTGTTTCTGCCTTCTGAGGGGCGTCTTGTGAGCACATGGAGGGGGGGGTTGGGGGGGTGTCACTGTTGCCCTTTTCCTTGCCAAGTTGGTTGTGTGGTACACAAGGGAAGGTGAAATTTACCATTCCTTCTGTGGCAGGTCTGAGGGCTGTAGGCAGTGTGGTGGTGGCATCCCTGTGGTATATGGCGAAGAGCCAAGCTTCTCCATGATGGAGAAACAGGAGCAGCTTCCAGGACCATCAGGAGAGCGTCTGTCCCACTTGCTCCCCATCTCCTTCCAGGAGGCAGGACATCAATGCTCACTATACTCCTGGTCCCTCTGCCACCAGGGAAGACTTCTCTTGACTGGGAGGCTTGGCAGAAGGGGTGAGTCGGCTCCTTGGACTTCCCTGGGGCACCCTGCCTGCAGAAACCAAGCCCACGTGCACAGGCTGTGGTGGGTACAGCAGCCCAATTCTGGGGTTCTTTGTTGCCACACTTTGGGGACACAGCACCCAATCCAGCTGTTATCAGGAATAAAGCTGGTGGTTTGATCTCCATCTGTCCTAACTCTTGGCCTCTCTCTTAGTTGGTTTGTGGCTCAGTTTGCCCAAGCACATTGGTGTGCGGCTCTATCTCTAGGTTTTCTTCACCAAATGGGTGAGGGGGACCAGGCTCACAGCCCCTTACAATTACATGCTCAGGAAGCAGTTGTCCCGTGGGCACAGAGACATTTGGTGGCACCTTTTCAGGTTCTGGGGATGGGGTGAGACAGAGCCCACCCCCTCTCAGCACTACCTGAGGGATGGGCTAAAGGTGTAGGGGCTTTTGACACCGGGACCTCAACACTGACAAGCTAGCTGAGGGCTTGTTGGTGGAAGGATGATTATTTCTACAAGGAAGGAAGTGGGCCTTGAGAAAGGGGAGTGGGGAAAGACACCAGAGCAGAGGAGGAAGGGGTTAGAGGGTGAGGGGTTGACAAGTGAGGAAGAGAGGGGTGTATTGGGGACACAAGAAGTTCATGCAGACCATCTTCCGTAAGTAATACTTCAAGGACACCCACATTCCATGTGCAGTTTGAGGGCCCCCAACCCAACTCAGCCCCACCATCCACAGCCCCTCTGATTAAAGCTGGGGCCCATCTCAGGGAAGGATCCAGAACTGGATGAGGACAGTAACCTCTGTGCCTTGGTTACTGGTGGTCAGCACTCGGTCCCTGGAGATCCATAGAGTTCACCTGTGCACCTTCCTGGTGTGGTGATATAGGATAAGCACTTCACCCCAAGGTCGGTTTGAACCTCAAGGTCAGTGGTTCAAACTCACCAGCCGCTCCTCGGGTCGTTATGAGTCAGAACAGGAGTCGGAACTGACTCGATGGCACTTAACAACAACTGATTCCCATCCCCACCAATTCTGAACCCCTTTCCTCCATGACTCCCTCCAGCAAAGTCTATGCTTCTCTCTAGTGGTTAAGACCGGTATTACATCTCCTTAGACCTTTGTGTTTGAGAAAATAAACCCAAACCCACCAAGATTTCTGCTCTTAGTAAGCTGATAGGGTGGATTAGAACAGCTCCCTCAGGTTTCGGAGGCTATAAATCTTTATGGGAACAGAAAATCTCATCCTCCTGTGGAGTGGCTGGTTGAACCACCCACCTTGTCGTTACCATCCAGTGCGTAACCTACTATCCACTAGGACGCTGGGAAATAGAAACCCAACTTTTTTTTCTCTCCTCAGGGTTATAGACATCCAAAGACCTAAAATTAGTAGCTGCTGTTGGTATGTGCCGTGGCATCGGTTCTGACTCTTAGCGACCCTGTACAGGATTTCCGAGGCTGTAAATCTTTACAGGAGCAGAAAGCCTTGTATTTCTCCCACAGAACAGCTGGTAGTTTTGAACTGCTGACCCTGAGGTTAGCAGCCCAAGGAGCTCTGATAGCGTAGTGGTTACGAATCGGGCTGCGAACCTTAAGGTCAGCGGTTCGAAACTACCAGCCGCTCCGCGGTAGAAAGATGAGGCTTTCTACTCCCGTAAAGATTTACACCCTCGGAAACCCTGTACAGGGTCGCTATGGGTCGGAACCGACTCGACGGCACTTAACAACAACAACAACAACAACGCTACCAGAGTTCCAGTAACTGTTAAGTGCTGTCAAATTGATTCTGATTCATGTTGTTGTTGTTAAGTGTCATCGAATAGGTTCCGACAAATAGAGACCCAGTATAGGTTTTCCGAGGAGCAGCTGGTGAGTTTGAACCACTGACCGTGTGGGTAGCAGTGCGGTGTTTATTCTGAGATAATTTTGATGCTTAGCTGTTCATGGACACATGAGTGGACTGATGGCCTAGATACCCATGTCTTGGTTCAGATTATGAGGGAAGTGTTGTGACGTGGCCTCTTGTTGTCCTCTCTGCTGCCCAGGGCCCCAGGATGGACCCACCCTCTGCACCCGCATCCAGGCAGAATCTTTCTCACCTGACCTCCCTGCATAGATGGTTCTAGACCCAGGGCTGACCATGGCTGCAGAGAATCCCGGCAGACATCCCAGACACAGTGGTTTCAACCAGGCACATGCCATTTGAAGCATTTACAAATATTAAACAAGTTGTAAATTTGATGGCATTGGGTGAAGGTTTAAGAGCAGATGTGAGACTGTGCTTCAGAAAATCCCTGCCTCCCTGTGCTTCCTGGGTGCCATCTTCACCTTCTTCTACCATGAGGGTTCTCTGATGCCACAGAGACTTAGGACCAAAGTGTCTTAGCTTCTCCGAGCTATAACTGACTTAGACCTCAGGGAGCTGTCATTTCAGTCCTGTCTGAGTTCCTAGCCATCTTTGAGAGGGAGTTAGCTAGGAGGTTACTTCTCTGTATCAGCAGCAGAATTCTCTAGACCTTCCTCTAAGCACAGACCAGCCATGCCCACTCCCAAGCCCACCCTGGTTCTGGAGAAACCAGTTGTTCCCAAACCTCCTGGAGCCCCTGCCCATTGAAGAATAGATGTTTATTAAGACACCCCTAGCCCAGAACTACCCTGGTTTGGTGCTCTTGTGCCCACAGGAACACCAATACATACCTAAGAGGAATAGGCCTCATTTATTTAGTAAAGACAACAGCAAAGGAGGTACCATTTCTGGGTACAAGACAGAATTGTTCTAGAATTTCAGTTGTAGTTAATACTCTCAGTGGTTAGGTTAGGTTATTGGCTGCTAACCAGAAGACCAGCAGTTTGAATCCACTGTGGTTTTTGCTTCAAGAACTTGTTACACAGCAGCTGTCTCTTGCCAAGAAATTCCTGCTCCAACAGCTTCCCTCTGTCTCCTGCCTGCTCTGGTATCCCTGGGCCTCTAGCGAGAGTATGAATAACACCCAGTTGTGTACACTGAGGGTTTGACCTGGTAGGAAACAACAAAGACGTGGCCAGACCCTGGGTGCAGATTCTGAGGCTGTGAGAGGCCTCCCAGGGAAGTCTCTCACCCTGAGTCACACTGAGGGAACTGAAGAACACACCCCTCCCCAACCTTCCCAGTAGAGGTGTTTCTCCCCAACACAGCCCACCAGGGCGCTTGTTGATGGCCAGAGGAACCACAGGGGAGACTCAGGCTAGGGGGCTTGTTGGACCCTTGAGACCCTGCAGTGATCTGAGGGGAGAGGGCAGTGGGTGACAAGTGTCCCAGACCCTCCTGCAGCTTCCGGGAACACGGCCTCACTCCCCCCAGGGACAGAGCTCAGCCAGGTACCCAGCATAGCTGTAACCCCCCACCCCACCCTGAGGCTAGATGAAGTGGACCCACAGGTTTTAGTCCTCTCTGTCCTTGCTGTGGAGTAGTGAAGTTACCAGTTCCCTTCTAGTATGACGACCAACTCAGCTTTGCCTCCACAGCCCCTGGCACTGGGAACATGGACCAGGCAGGACAAGGCCCACTCTGCTCCATGTCCTCATCTGCCTGGAACTGTGCCCATGGAGAGTCAGCCTTGCTTTCCTCTGCTCCCAGTCTCCCCCACCCTCGTTTCCTGAGGGTGCACACCTCCTGGGGTGACCTGCTCTCTCCTTTGCTGATGGAGTAGGGGACTGCTGAGATGAGGCTGGGCTTTTGCAAGCCAGGCTAGCAGGCTCTGTTTGGGGAGTGTGACTTCCGAGTGCAGTGGCTGCGGTGTTCACACTGGTGGGAAGCCTCAGTTTCACGACTGCTCCTTGACAGCTTGGCTGAGCGGCTCCTCACGCTCGGTTCCTGGGGCTGCTCTTCGGTTCCAGGCTCGGTGCACCAGCCCTCCTGCCCTCTGTGTGCTCCCCTTCATCCTACTAGCGAGTTCTCTCTGTCCACACCGGATGGAGAGGGTCTCTAGCTGGAAAGAGCCCTAATTCATACAGAGATGTGTGTGTTCCTTTTATAAATCCTGTTTATTGATTGATTGCTCATAGGTCCAGCTGCTTTCTAAATGGACCACACGTATTAACTGAGGAATCCTCAGGAGAGACCAGTGAGCTGTGTACTCCTGGTTTCTCATTCTATGGGGGACCCTAATGCATGGGTAGGCAAGCCCCTTGCTCAGTAAGTGGAAGACCTGGGTTTCCACCTACAGAAGCCAGTTTCAGCATCTGTTCCTGAAACACTAGGCTAGACTGCTGCTCTAGCCTTCATAGCAGTCCTTCTTATGACATCAAAAGTAACCAGAAAGAGGAAACTTGCAGTTGGGGCTTGATGAAAACTGAGAGAGGTTGATAGGGCTGATATAGAGCTATTTTTATTGACATGTAACAGTGTCCAAAATACATTATGAATTGGAAACATTTAAACAAAGCACATTTTGTTTATCAACATTGTACACACATACACACAGACAAAGAAGCATTTCTTCAGATTGTCAATCATGATTACTCTTTATACCTGGAGGGACCTACCAAGCATTGTACTTTTTTGTTGCTAGAAGATGCATTGTGGAATAGTTCAGCACTTACATTGGAGGGGATATCCTAACATGCCTCAAGCCATGTTGTTGTTAGGTGTTGTTGAGTTGTTTCCAACTCATAATGACCCTGCATAGGGTTTCCAAGAAGCAGTGGATGGGTTTGAACTACCAACCTTGTGATTAGCAGTTCAGTGCTTATCCTACCATGCTAAACCAGGACTCCTCAGACCATGGAACTCCAAAAAATGTCACCTACATGGCAGGTCTGTCGATTTATTTCCCACCATCTGGAGTGTGTGCTATATAGCAAGCCGTTCACAACACTTGCTTCGTCTTACTCACTGGGACTAATGGACATATGTTGTGCTGTTGCTAGGCACCTGGAGTCGATTTCACCTCATAGCGTCTCCTTGTGACAGAGCTGAGCTGCTCCATCAGGTTGTCTAGGCTGCAGTCTTAACAGTCTTTATCCAGTGGAGTTCCTGGATGGGTTAAAACTATGACCTTTTCTGGTTAGCATCTGAGCAAGGAACATCCAGTCATCTCTACAATGGAGCAGGAGTCCTGGTGTGGCATTGCAGGATAATGCGCTGGATTGCAAGTTCAGTTTGAACCACAAGGTCAGTGGTTCCAACCTACCAGTTGCTCCTCAGAAACCCTAAACAGGGTCGCTATGGGTTGGAACCCACTGGAAGGTAACAACATAATGGAGCAATGTGTTAGAGAATGTCCAGGCCGTCCTTCATTCAAGCCAAACAGCAGAGGGTAACTCCATTTTCCAACAAGAGGCAGAGGGACTCTTTCGTGGGACCAGTGGTTTCTGGAAGCCAAGGTTTCATGCATATCTGCCCAGATATCCCTGTCTGTTTCAGAACTCTGCTCCTTCTTTATCAGAGTCTGACTTTGGCATAAGAGGTCACCTCAACTTTAGAATTCAATCTTCTGTGAAATTCTGTCACTCTTAAAATTAGGACATGTGCCAGTTCCAAGTTACTGCCTGTCTTTCAGCTGTGGGTACGGGGACTCTAACTAGTTACTGCCTGTCTTTCAGCTGTGGGTACGGGGACTCTAGAACTGCTGCCTAGGAAGGCCTTTGATGGTTGCCAAAACATCAATGGTTTGATTTTTGTTACAATTTCTCTCTTCTTTCTTTTCTTTTTTTTGACCCACTTTAAGAAGCAGAAGTTTATTAACACTGTGCTGTTACAATGGGGAAAAAATATTTGGTTTCAAAAGAACATTGGAAACAACATCTGTGATTGCAAGGTATCTGAATATGGAGAATGTGGTTTGTCTATTTACATTTCAGAGATCTTCCAGAAATAGAAAACAAGTTTCCCAAATACTGAAATCCACTTCAAAGTAATATTATGTTCATTTTCTTACTCAATATTTGTATTATTGATAATGAAAACACAGTGTAGATACTGCCAGTTTGGGAACTCTATTTGATGACCAGATTTTGTTGATGTTTTGGTGAATTTTTATACATGGAGATTAGTGAAGTTATAGAGTAGGTAGCTTTAGGATAATTGGTTGAGATGCCTAATTAGAAAAAATGATTAGTGAAATAGAAAAAATATGAGTCATAAATTGAAGCTTTAAAATGTTTTTTCTTCCCCCAAATAGATAGGACTCAGAGATATGTAAAATAGAAATAAAATGTGTAAAAGCAGAAATTAAATTAAGATGCTACTTAGATTAAAAGAGAACAGCTCAAAGTATTCTTTTATAAACATTCTACATGTTCATAAAAGAATATTTGTACAAATTTCCAACTTATTTTGCTGCATATATTTAGAATTGATTACTTTTGTTTACATTTAAAATTACAGTCTGTCATTTTATTTGAAAATCACAAAGTTGAAAGCACATGAAATGTAAAATTAGAGAACTTTTTAACAACAGTTGGAAATGATCATTCGTATATTTATATTTTGTTGTTAAGTGCTGTCTAGTGGTTCAGACACATAGCGACCCTACCTAGGGTTTCTGAGGAGCAGTGGGTGCGTTTGAACTGCCACCTTGTGGCAACCTTGAGATCCAGTGCTGGTCCTATAGCCCCACAACAAGACTCCTAGTTTTGTCAAATCTGACAGAAGCAAGGGGAGAGTTTTTCCTTAGGTAGACTCATTATCTGCAAATATAACTTGCCCTTAAAAAAGGCACCTCATACATTAAGTAGAAGATGGTCAAAAACAACTTTTACTAAAAGCTGTAAACTGTTGTTTTTCTTAAGCGTCATTGAGTCTGTCCCGACAAATAAGAAGCCTGTATAGGGTTTCCAATGAGCGACTGGTTGGTTTGAACCACCGAACTTGAGATTAGCAGTCTAGTACTTATCGTGCAGCACTTTTCCATGTTTCTTCAATGCCAGGTAGTGTATCCCCCTCACCTCTCTTGCATCCAGTTATCACAGGTGAAACTCTTGGCAATTGTACCACTCTAGAATGGCAGGCACTATCAACACTTCCCCTATCGCCAATTGGCCAACTACTTCAGAATCCCAGCCCAGCAATGAACTTCCTAGAAGCATTTCTGGTGCCAACTCTCTTGGTGGTTGTGGTCCCTAAAAGCAGAACATATGATGAGGTCACTTAAGCAAGGGATTTATCATGGGAATTCACACAGAAGATGGGTGAGGGAAGCAAGATGGGGTCAGGGCATGGGTTTGCATCTCAAAGAGGCATCAGTTTGATTCCACAGGGCTCAGAGAAGCTTGACTCTCATCATAGCATTGGCTCTGCCATGAGGAAAAGTAGCAGAACCTCCAAGGGAAACTGGTCTCATTGGGCTCAGGGCACTTCTGGGAGGGGTGGCATTAGTGGCCAACACTCAGAGTAGCAGGGAATGATGGGAAGACCATCCCAGAACACGGTTTGTGGTCAGGACCCAGCAAGCTCATCTCCTTTGTTTCCTGAATACCATACACTTCCTTGAAATTCTCTTCAAATTCAGCCTCCAGTCTGAGTCCCATTTGGCCAAAGTCCTTGTTCTGAAAAAAAAAAAAGCCAAAAATAATGAAACTCACTGTCAGGGTTTTTGACACCCTACAATTCAGAATGATGAAGACCCTTGTGTTAACCTCTCAACTCTCAAGTGCTAACTGAGAATCACATTAATCACTACCTTCAAGTTGGTTCCAACTCACAGAGATCCCATAGGACAGAGTAGAAGTACTCCGTAGGGGTTCCAAAGCTGTGTCTATGGGAGTAGACAGCCTCATCGTTCTCCTAATGTGCAATTGGTGGGTTTGAACCACTGATCTTGTAGTTAGCAACCCAAAGTTTAGCCCACAACACTGATAAGGTTAAACTAAAAAACCAATAAGGCTTTAAAAGTGACTTCTGTTCCCTAAGGCCACAAGTATTTCTAATTAACTACACTGCACTTGGGAGTGTTGGTGTGGTGCTGCAGCATCATGCACTAGACCAAGAGGTCAGTTTGAACCACAAGGTCAGTGGTTCAAGCCCACTAACCGCTCCTTGGAAACCCTATACAGGGTCGCTATGGGTTGGAACTGACTCGACGACACTTAACAACAACAACAGACTGCACTTGAGGCTTATTACTTATTTTAGAGAGAGTTATAACAGTCATTGGTGTTCTTTGTAACAGTTCAGGGAACACCAAAACAAAACCAACCCCTACCAAACCAAAGAACCACACCCACTGCCTTTGAGACAATCTCTACTCCTAGAAGCCCTATTTGTTGTTGTTGTTGTGTGTCGTTGAGTTGGTTCCAACCCATAGCCACCCTGCACCGGGTTTCCGAGGCTGTAAATCTTTATGGGAGCAGAAAGCCCCATCTCTTTCCTCTGGAACCTCTGGTAGTTTCAAACTGCTGACCTTGAGATTAGCAGCCTGATTCGTAACCACTATGCTACCAGAGCTCCTTAGGACAGATTAGAACTGCTCCTTTGGGTGTCCTAGACTCTATATCTTTATAAGAGCAGACAGACTCATACTTCTCTTGTAGAGCACTTGGTAGGTTTAAACCATTGACCTACAGTTAGTATAAAAGGATCTAAACTATAATCTATGGTCCCTTCCTTTTCCCATGGCCATGTCCATCCCTCAGATGAGCACTGCTAACTAAATGGACCATCACTGGGAACTTCATATCTAATGGAATCTGGGCTTGGGGAGTCTTGAGAAGTATGAAAACATGATTGTCTTCTCCTTATGCATGAGAGCTGGTCAGCGTCTACTGCCTTCTAAGGGCTCCATCCCCTTTGCAGAGAAACGGGGCTCTGGGAGCCTGGGGTTCTAGCTGCTTCTCCACCGTGAATCTACTTATTCACTTCCGGAATCCTTGCTCACACAAGTTTATGACAGCATGGGGGAAGCTGTGAAGTTTCCCAGTCCCCAGGAAAATGGGCCCGAGTGGCTCAACAGAAAGAAAAGGAAATGGGAGCCGGGAAAGCCACCCACCTTGAAGGATGCTCTGTGGTTCTGAAAGATGAGGCGTATATCCGTGATGAACTCCCCCACTCGGTGGTAATACTTCTCCTTCAGCCTCTTCTTGATTTTGTTCAGACACATGGGTCCCTTTCGGACTTGAGAATCCTTTCTATTCTGGGGACAAAAATGTCAAAAGAAGCACTATTAGCATAGTTCAATTTACTCTCTGTGGATTTCCATGAAATCCAGTTGGAATGCAACAAGTGACAGACAACAACAATTTGAGTTCTCACTCCCAGGTCACGAATATCTCCAGTGACAGTTTCAGAGACACAGAACATCATGGCGGTTTGTAATCACGGTTGGTTGTTACTTACATAAGAATATGGAATCTGGGCAAAAAAGTTGCTCTCTGAACAGCAGTAGGCCTTCAAGAGGAGGAACTCACATTTCTGCAAAAGAATGAAGCTGTAAATGAAAAACAACTTGGAGGAATGAGCCCAGCCATGCCCAGACAGACCTCATGACTCAAATCAGTCATCCAGAAGGTTCCTCAAGTATGACGTGGCTCTTGGAAACAGGCATGGCTTGTAAGAGCATGTTCCCTTTGGGTGTTGTTCCCCTAATACTTTTCCTGACTGTGCTTCTCAGGTATTAAGTGAAAGACAAAGGCTTGGGGTTCACAGCCAACTAACTCACCAACTGGTCCTCAGGGAGCATCTGCCTCTCTAGGATCTCAGATTCCTGTTGACACTGTTGGTTTCCTGAAGAATCCTTCATTCTGCAGAACATGCAACTCCACGGATTTCTGAGAGGTAGGGCAGATAGTGAACAGGGGACAAGGCCCTGGAAATGGCTGTGGTTCCCATGGCAGCCACTGGCTTCCTTTCAGAAATGGGGGACACCTCTCAGAGTATCCTAGACCTCCTAGGGCCTCAATCCAATGACCTCCTCCATCAGGAGTATTACTAAGGGGGTCATCCCATAGGAGGTGAGGTCATGACAAGCAATGGGCTCTACTTTGCCTCTCTGAGCTGCTGAGAGCACCAAGAGTCCTGGCTGCCAAGCCTGAGCATTAGAAAGTGGGCCTTGATTCTTGGCACACTTGGGTTTTCATCAGTGTGATGGGGCCAGGGTGAAAGATAAGACGTGGGTGATCTTTCCTGAGTTTTTTGAGTAAACACAAAATACAAACAGCTGGAGTGTTCTGTCCCTAGTTCCTTTGGACAGAAGTTCTTGCTGCAAATGTGTAAGATTCGACAGTGATAGGAAGAAGGCAAAGCCATGAGACAGTCACAGCCCTCAGAGTCTCTCAGGGGGTATCTGATACACAAAGCTCCTGCGAGACCAGCCCTGTTCAACAGATTTAGATTACACTTCAGGATCCCGGTACCCAAGGGCCTTGCTCCTTCTCCATCTCGACACCAGCAAGAACTCTGCACTATGAGTGTTTATGGAAGGATGAGGGGTCCCTAATATGAGGGGAAGGAATGAGGACAGTGCCTTACTTTTCAGCTTCCACAAGAGGGATGTGACATTTCTCATGAAAGGCTCTCGAACACGTGTCACAGCAGAACAGCTTGCCCCTTTGCCGACACACCTCACAGTCATCTGAGTTTCTCAGCTGGAAGATGAAATAATGCCCATATCACCAGGATAAGCCCCCAAAGCCAACACAATAGGAATCCAGAACACAATAGGAATCTAGAACACACTGCAGAATGAACACATACAAGCTTCCTCCTGAGATCTTAAGGTACAACACTAAGGGGGCACCAGTGACATTTAGGAGGAGTGCGCTCTGTGTCAGACTAGCAAGGTCTTCTTACAACCAAAGGTCCTAACATGAAATGATGAGTAGCAATCTGAGACTGATTATTCAGTGTTAATATTCGGCAGTTAATATTCAGAGTCCTGAAATAACCACTAAATTCAGTTGCTTGAAGCACAATGTCTCCATCGACTAGCAGAAGGATGATTTTTCTGGGAATTTAATATGATGGATTAAACTTCTTAGAAAGGACTATATTCTATTTATTATATTAAAATGAACAAGAATTCACAGTCCAACTCCAGCAGCATTGCTCATGAGAAGTATCAACATGTGACTCAACAAACAGCTGAGTGGCATGTATGCAGCTACGCGGTTCCACCTTCCATGAGTGAGCAAAGACCACTTAAGGACAACTGGTGTGTAGCTCTATGGACCATCCATCACAGGAAACTTCATATGTAATGGGTTGTTGGAGAAGTTCTTACCGTCTTGTGAATATCTTAGGAGTCTAATATGAGATAGGCTTGGAGATTAAGCCACTCTCACTGAGGGACAGTGGGAGGAAGGAGCACGGACAGTTGATAAGCAAAAGGTACCAAAGACCATCATTCTCTAAACACATCTGGTTCTGTGTCATCACTCTCTGGTGTACACTATGGGTTTCACTGCTATATCTGTTTCCTTTCTGGGTCTCCTCCCTGATAAAAACTTAAAAGGACAACATTGCTCAGGCTTCTGCCCTTAGAACTTCTCTCAGATGGTCAGAGTTGTTTTCATAGCTCTGGTGACATCTTGACATCGTCAGCTCCCAGATGTTCAGCCTCTCTTTGGCACCCTATGTTCTTCACCTGGATCCTTGAAACACACCTCCAGCTTACCCTGTGAGAATTATGACATACCCTGCCCTGATACTTAGGGAGCTGTTACTCACATGACCATCAACTAAATCATTCTTGTGAGGTTCCAGTCTTCTCTGTTGAAAAGAAAGAAAGATTGAGTACCAATACAGAATATGATTGTTTGTTTCATCCATAATTTATTTAAACAGCTATTTCTTAAAAGGATTCAAGTCCATCTACTCTTTATTCTGTTTCTTCAGACCTATGTGGTTACAAGTCTGGCTGCCAACCTCAAGGTCAGCAGTTCGAAACTACCAGCGCTTCCGTGGGAGAAAGATGAGGCGTTCTGCTCCCGTAAAGATCTGCAGCCTCAGAAACCCTGTTCAGGGTCACTATGAGTGGGAACCGACTCCACGGTACTTAACAACAACAACAACATGTGTCTACAAGGAAATAAAAAGGACCAAAATATCATAGTTTAGCTCAATCCAAGTTTCATCTCCTGCTTTATAAAGTTTCACCCTGTCCCAAGTTGAGTTGCCTAATGCTTGTTGTTATAAAGTGCTGTCGAGTTGGTTCTGACTCATAGTGACCCTGCATAGGGTTTTTGAGGAGCAGCTGGTGAGCTTGAACCACTGACCTTGCAGTTCAAAATCACCTTGCAGTCCAGAGCATTAACCTGCAGCACCACCCCAGGACTGTGAGGAAACTTTTACAGCATCAGATTTTACTAAAATTAGGGAAGAGTAACATTAATGAAAAAAATCTGGGTTTAAGATGATCTTATCACCTTATTACTATACTCATATGCTTGCACTTCCAATTTACATCTGCCTCTGTTGCTAACATATACTCATGATACTTAGGTTTAGGGTTTATAATTTTCTCCATCCCAAATGGTTTCATATCCTTCTACATAACATGGCTCTAAGTAGCAGCTCTGAAGGCACATACCAAAAAAGAAAAAAACAAAAAAAACAAAAAAAAACTCAATTGCCAAATTTAAAAACCATAAAATACGTTTTGCAGGTGTTAAATCAGTTATATAATGAGATCCTGTAGAAATTTACATAACAATCACCTTTTTTCTCCTGGGATATGTTCTTGGAGGGTGAGGGAGAATTTCCTCCTGATCAATAAAGAAGACCCCAGTATATGGTTAGTCTATGTTTCTGCTTTTGTTGAGTCTAGCATTTCCAGTATCCTCCCAAATATGTCCACCTAGATGTCCCACTGACCGCTCCAACTTGGATGTCTAAGGAGAAACCACCTTCCTCTCCTCAGCTGCATCTCTAGTAGACTTCAACTGATGGTAAATAATCCTCAGCACACTTTTCCTTTCTCCTGAAGGTTCCTTCACAATCTCTTTTACACCCATCACCTCCTGTCCATTCCCACCAGTGCAGCTCTGCTTTGAGTAATTCGTTATACCTGGATTATTCAAGTAATTATTCAGGTAGCAACACACTTGTTACCTGACTACAGTAAAGGTTAACAGTAAAACAATATAAGAAGAGTTCTAATAGCAGGTTCACGAAGCCTGGGAAGAGATTACCAAGGCCAGATCAGTCAGAGAATATTCATAGGGCAACATTAGAGGTAAGCATTGTGGATTGAGCATGGGGCTTGTTAGCAGAAAGACATGAAGTCTTTTCAAGGCCCCATGATTATGGAAAGTTTTATATACGTCACTTCCCCCCTCAGATGATTCCTCTTGTTCTCTATTGTCTAGATTATGAGGTTCAGTTTATAACCCCACTGATTAGATCATGCCTAATTGTATTAAACGTATCCACCTAAGACCCCAGAACCAACCAAATCGTGCCTCTGGTTTTCATGCTATCAGCTATTACTTCTTTAAGTGCTTCAAGTTGTTTGCATGCACTCAAGTTAAAATGATCGTTTCCTCTTTTGAACTCCTGTATTTCTTTCTGAGGGGTTCCTCTTACAACATTGGTGTGCTGACTCTTTATCCCAGTGAAGAAGAAATTCAGGTCACCGGGTTTTATATAAACGCAACGAATTTTTGGTAAGTAACAGTGACCTTGTTATAAGGTTGCAGTGGAGCAGGGTACAACTCCTTCCCCTTGTCAATGAAATACCTTCATCAGCCACTGTAGAGGCCGGCCACCACAGCGCACACTCAACCTCCAGTTGTTTGATCTTGTGTAACCTCCTTCGATTTCAAACTCCCTGGTGGTGAGCCAGTTTCCATTCTCATCCTGTATACACTTCTCTGAGACTCCTGTAAGATCAGGGTAGGTTGGTCCTGAGATATCTGTTCTCAGAGCATAGACCAGAGCTCCCACCACAACAGAGTTGTTGTTGCTAAGTGCCGTTGAGTTAGTTCCGACTCATAGTGACCCTGTATAATGTTTCCAAGGAGCAGCTGGTGAACTTGAACCACTGACCTTGTGATTCAAATCAACCTTGCTGTCCAGCACATTAACTCGCAACACCACACCAGAAAGTGGAGTCAACCAGTTTGGATCCTAGATCAATACCAGGAGGATTTGCTCTCCTCTCTTAGACTTACAGGGACCCAAACCTATCCTGAAACTCTCCTCAAAGCAGATTCCTGCTGTGTTGGCATATTATTTTGACTTTCATGCTTGAAAAAGATAACAGTTACCGCCAAACCCAACCTTTTAAAAAGCATTTCAAAATCATTTATGAGGAGAGACAATGTAATTCCAAAAGACAGAGGATTGTAACTTGCCACTGCATTCTG